AATACTTAAATATTTAGTTTGAAAATCAAATGTTTAGTTTGGAAATTAAATGTTAATTTAATAAATAACCTGAAATGTTGCTGTTAATTCATTACTGTGTATCTTTACAAACAGCACCACGTATTAATCACTCAATTAATTAATCAGTTTATTTGCATTTCAGATTTCAGCAACACTGCAGTTCAAATGTTTTGCAACATGAAAACATAAAATAAATCATAAACATCATTTAATGAACAGTTGTGAAACTCAGTAACAGTTGTTATGTTGTCAAATAATCAATAATCAGAGGCGAGTAGAAAACCCAAAGATTATACTAAAGTTAAGGCAGATCTACTTCAACATATTTTTACTCAAGTAAAAGTCAAAAGTATTTTGTAAAAAGTCTACTCAGATACTGAGAACTGATCAAATTATCAATCAGTTAAAAGTTACATAATAAGACAAACCAAAATATACAGTTAAGAGGAAATTTTGGTATTTTAAGGATGAAAATTACAATAATTCATATAAGTAACAAAAAACGTCCAAATAAATTTTGTACAAATCAGTTTCTTTCAATAAAAAAACTGATGAAACTTTAACAAAAACTGCAGGTCTGATGAATTTTTGATTGAAACATTTTTGTTTTTCATTCAGTGGGGAGAAAATCCAGAAATTTTACTCAAGTAGGACGGGAAATATTTCATAACAAAAGCTCTCAAGTTAAAGGTAAAAAGCACAGCATAGTTAAGATACTCCAAAAAGAATTTTTTTCAAAAAAAAGTTGCTCAAGTAAACCTAACTAGTTTCTACCAAACTCAGTATGTTGGTCAATATTTCGTGTTTCAAAAGTAAGCAGGAGGATTTTAATGATTTAAAAGAACTCTGTGTTTCGTGTCTTTTGCAATTTTCTGGAAGTTTGTTCCAGATTTGTGGACCATAGGAGCTGAACGCTGCTTCTGGTTCTGGGTGGATCAGAACCAGAACCAGAACCTGGTCGGTGTGGCCGGTTGACCCAGCAGCAGCAGCAGCAGCAGCAGATCTTCATCTCCTCCTATTTTTAGCTCGGCGCTCCGCCCGGTGAAAACACCTGGAAGATGCTGCTGCATATTTATATCTGCGTCCCGACAGCGAGCGGCGTTACCGGGAGGTCAGCGGGGTCAAATTACATGAGCAGAAACAAAAGACGGAGAAGGAGCAACGAGGTGACTAACAGCTGCGGCAGGTAATGACTAACCTGGGATGAATTATTCCTGAACCTGCGCCAGCGCTGCTACCGTCTTTATACACCAACTCACACTTTCACAGCAGCTTCTTTAAATAAACACATTCCTGCGCTTAATTTAGGCACGAAAACACACACACACACACACACACACCGCAGCAGCTCGGTACCTGGGAGCGGGCCGTGACTGACGGCTGTGGGCGTGGCCAGGTGGGGTTTCTGCGCGGGTGAGACGTGTTCGTTAACAGTCTGTCACTAATTGTTGCGTCCCGGTTTGTTCGCACACACACCGCAGGTTGTTTTCCTCACCGGTTTCTGACATCCAAAATGATTTTTTTGTTTGTTTGTTTGTTTTTCAGACAAAATAACCAATATTAGATGTAAAAGTTGATTTAAATCTGATAATACAACCTTATGTTACAAACACAAAAATGTGATTTAACCAAAGAAAGTGGGTTTGAAAAGTTCATCCCAATCTTGAAATGAGTTGAAAATCTAATTTTATGCTAATTAAATCAAGTAAAACTGAGAAAATGTGATCAAAGAGGCTAAACAGGCATTTAATGACAAACATCACACGACAAAACGGCCATAAAGCTTTAAAATGCTCAAAAATAGAAAACTGGGGCAACAGGAGGGTTGAATAACAACTAAGAGACGGAAAATAACAACAAAAAAACTAAAATATTATGAGAGAAACAAAACCAGAAATACAGAAAAACACAAATAGTTCCTTACAAAAAGACAAAAGTAAAAGTTTTTTTTCAGCACATTTAGAAGCTTACAAATGAAAAACATATTGGTTCCACTGGCAGATTGTATCATTTATAATAAGATATTTTTCCAATAATATAAATAATCTGCCAGCGGAAGTCAGACTTTTCCATCAGTATTAAGGAATTATTTACTTAAAGCTGGTTCTGGTCGGGTTCTGGTTAGGGAACCGGGTCAGCCCAGTTCTGCAGGATGAAGAATGACCTTTGAGAGGATGTTATTAAACAACAGACTCCAGGCTGAGCCGGAGTGTAGGAGATCCATTAGTGAGGGGTTCTGGTTCTGGACGGGAGTTTGGGTGGCCTCACCCTGGGAAACTGATGGCTGCAGTCAGGCTGCTGTTTATCCTGCAGGCTATTTAAAGAGGAAGACCCGTGGAAAATCATAAAAACATGAGGAGATGTTTGGAAATAAAGCTCACAGATCTTTTAATTTATACTCAGATTGAAAAAAATGGCTCATGAAATATTACAAATCTCTTTCATCATCTGGTTTTAAAATGAACAAACTAACAAAAAGTTTGATTTGTTTCTGAATCAAAATGAAAACGTGTTGATTTTTCTCCTCTTCAGTCGGATCGCTGAAAGTGGCGCCCCGCCTCACTGAGGACATCTGCTGGCAGAATATGAGAATGCAGCTCCGATATTTAGGATTTTAAAACCAGAAATCCAGCCTCCCTGTTGAACATCTAACAACCAAAATATTCACTGACCCTGAGGAAAAAAGTCCATGGTTCAAAACGGAAATGTATAAATTGTACAAATACAATAAGTAATTTTAAAAAATTGGATCATAAGATTAGTTTCCACACTGATTAGAGCTGAAATGCAGATTTTATCATAAATAAAGCTAAAAAAAAAAGTTTTGGGTGGAATTTTAGCGAATTTTTAAGAAATGTTGTTGCTAAAATTTCCCCCCAAAATTTGGAAATGAATGCAGATAAAAACAAAGACAGATAAAAGGATGTTACAGTGCTTTATATAAATAAAAGAAACGTCACTTCCTTTTGTCTCATCAGGGATCTTTGTTGATATTTAGATTTGTTTTATTGTGTACTAAAAATGTTTTTGGGAAATTTAAGTGAAATACTTTACTGCAATTGATTTTATACCGGTGTTTATTTTATACAAATAACAGTCTCTGTAATTTGTATAAACTTTTTAGACTGTAGTTGGCTGCTTCTTCTTCTTCTTCTTCTTCTTCTTCTTCTTATTATTATTATTATTATTATTATTATTATTATTATTATTATTATTATTATTATTATTATTATTATTGGTGATAGTAATAGCAGTTGTAGTATTAGACATCATTTTTATATTACAGTTACATTTCTGATTTTAATGTATAATAATGCAAACATTTTTTACAAACAAATCAGTATTTAAAAAAAAAAAACTAACCAGTAACTAGTTACATTTATTTGGATAACTTTTTGGACTAAATGACTGAAATACGTTTGACACTCCAGAGATAACTTTTTGCCCAAATATTTTTTACTCTCTTTTGAGTGATTTCTTGCTCATCTACTTTTAAGTAGTTTTACTCTAACTGGAGTATTTGGCTTCTCCACCTTTGATTATATTTTCATTTCCACCAAATATTAATAAACAAATGGCCAAGGTCAGGCTCGATTAGCCTGAGAGACAAAACGCAGGGCAAACAGGTATGGTGTCACGTGAACGCGCGACGTAGGTACGCAGACGTAAGAACGGGAACGCGCCCAGCTGACTGAACAACACGAACACCCGCACGTCAACCTGTCCGTCCGAGCTGTGTCTGTCTCTTTAAGGACAGCCTCCACCTGTCCAGGTACGTCCGCTGCGTTGACGTAACCGTGAGCATTGCGCAGCTTCCGGCCATCAGGTGGAGGCGAAAGAGAAAAGAGGAGGCACCCCGTCAGCTCACCTGTCGGCAGGTAAACAACCACAGAGGAAGAAAGAAAAGTAAGTTAAAGGAGAAACTTTCTTCTTCTGGTTTGTTTTTGTCCTACTTCCTGAATTCTCCGGGTTCTGGAGGAAACAGGAAGTTCAGGACCGGTCTGGTGGTTCCGTGTTGTGGGTCAGGTAGCTCAGTCAGCTGGTGATCAACCGCAGGTCCGTGGCCCTTTAAATGGGCTCAGGACAAACCAAAGGAAACCAAACAAAGAACAGATTTAAAGCTGGTTATGTTCTGCCTGGCAACAGCAGAGTCTGACTAAATTTAATGGTTTAGTTTCTAAGATTTAGATTTCTGACATTTTAATATTTAGCTGCTTCGAGGAATTAGGCACAATTTTCTTTGTTTTTTTGTGTCTATTTTAAATCTCACCAAAAATAATAAAATAAACTTTAGAACCAAAGAGCAGTAAATGATCAATTAGGTGAGTCATTTCTCTCAGAAGCTGAAGCCTGGTTTTACGGGTCGGTGCAGTTCAGTATCCACCAGCCACTTCACTTTCATTTGTAAATGTGGATCACCGAACCGACCTGCTTCAGTTCAGGATCCACAGAACAATGGTCTGGTCTGGTCTGGTTATAAAGACTGTCTGTTTATTGGGGACAGAAAAATGTCTCAGCTTGAGACAAGGACAAGGCATGCTAACATGTCACGTTTTTCGCATCAGCATGACGCTGACTTAAGCATTTGGGTTTAATCTGCCTTTGCAGAGAGTCTAAAGATGATTTACACCTGATAGTCCAGTAAACCTGGTTCGACTGGGGAACAAAAACTACATTTGTTCCAGTTCCAGCTGCTGCGCTTTTCTTTAGAGTAACCTTTTCCCCTCCTGGCCTGTCGGGGCGCTGCACCAAGAAACAACCCAGAAACCTCTGAAGAAGACACTGAGCGCACTTTTCTTCTTTGCCAAATGGAAACAAAAATGGAGTAGCATCAGGTTTCAGCAGGTATTTTGTTGTTGGTAAAAGACTACAAGCTATTTCTCCTGCTAGCGCTAGGCTAGCATGTTTGTTTTGGTTGTATTTACCCAGAATGCCCTGTGCTGTAGTCCACTTCCTGCTTTTAGAGCCGTCTCTTAGCATTCAGCCGAACCAGAGTTCGCATTCACACCTCCAGAACCAAATCGGATTTATAGGCAGACGGACCGGCGTGTCGCAGGATTTTTCTGTGGGAGCAGATCCTGAACCTGGATCAGAACCAGAGTTCAACCAAGCAAAACCAAACCAAACCGTACTGAAGACCACCAGAACCTTCTAAGACTGATAAAAAGCTTAAAGCCCTCATCATCTTCAGCTCTGCCTCCAGAAGGGAACTCTGGTTCTTGCTTACTGAAAACACAAACCCAATAATGATTTCCTGAGTCCTAGTCGACCAAAACAATCCAGAAACATAAACAAAACGAAGCCGACCAGAACACCAAGGACGTCATTGGTGTTCTCATTTTAACAGGGGGAGTTTTTTATTTCAGTTCTTTTCATTTTGACCCGCCGGGTTTCAGCGGGGGGTTCTGCTGCGTCACCGGGTCAGGAATGTGCTGCTGCAGCAGATCAGACCGGCGAGCCGCTTTCTGGGTTCTGCTGCACTGCAGAAGGATTCACACCGCTCAAACTGGGACTTTATGTGAAAGGAGAACATTCGGTGGTGAATAACTGCGAAGAGAAGGACGAGGATTTAAGCATTTTTACAAATGAAAATCTGAAAAGTGCGGTGTCCAAGTGCATTCCTTGGTTAAAGAAGCGACTGTGGTAGATTTGAACATTTACAAGATTGGATGGAGAACATCTGGGAACATCAAGTTTCAGATCTTTCCACAGATTAGTTGTTTTTAGGTCTGAACTTTGACTAGGCCCTTGTATCTCTGACTGGGTGTTCCTGGTGGTCATCCTGCTGGAAGGAGAACCTCAGGTCTTAGGTCTTCCAGCTCCATCCATCTTCTAATCAACTCTAACCGGCTCCAACACAGCATGATGTTGCCACTGGCTGATCTTACTCTGGTGATGCGTTCAGGGAGATGAACAGTGTTGGTTTTTCTCCTCACATGGAGCCCCGACTTATATGTGAATATATCACACTAACATTCATTAGTGCCATGATTTTTAATGCTTTATCATGTGAAAAAACTTATTCATGTGTGATTTTTAATTCCATTTCTTATTTAATAGAAATGGTACAATTGTGAAATAGTTTTTTTTTTTGTAGACATTAGCACAATAGCAAAATTTTATGCACATTTGAAGCGGAAACACAGCTACAGTAACTGGCTGAATACATATGCAAGCCAGACTTTTCAGATTTCTTCACATTTTGCTGGCTTTAGTTTCAGAGTTCATTGGATGAGGTGAAAATGTCCCGTCTCCGTTGTTCTCTCTGCAGTGAATCCCATCCCTTCCAATCTGAGGTCAGAGGCCAAGAAAGCTGCCAAGATCCTGAGAGAGTTCACTCAGATCTCCAACAGGACTGGACCGGACAAACTCATCCCCGGTACAGACCGTGCCTGATGTGACTCACCGCCTGCAGGTTCCGGCTCATTATTGTGTTTCTGTGTTTCAGCTCATATCATAGCCAAGGCTGAAGGTTTGGCCATCATCTCGGTCATCAAGGCGGGCTTCATGGTCACCGCCAGAGGAGGCAGCGGCGTCGTCATAGCCAGACTCGCCGACAGGCGTAAGTCCTCAGTCCATCGTCATTTTGTATCGTCCTCTTGACGCCATCGTCTAGTCTTTGTGGCGGTCATAGTGTCTCTCGTTGACCCTTGTCTCGTTCTGGACGGGTCTTCTTCTTCATCTTCTGTTGCATCGCCTCCTTTGTTTTGTGGGTTTCCTTATTCAGTAGTTCTTCTCCGCATCAGAAGCAGATATTTTTCATGAGCAGCTCTGTAACGATGAAGGCGAGCGTTACCTGGATTGGTTGCGCTGGTCGTAACGATCTGTTCTTGGTCCAGGTTGGTCGGCGCCATCGGCCATCGGCATAGCGGGCCTCGGCGGAGGCTTTGAGCTCGGTGTGGAGGTACGTCAGACTAACATCAGCCCTCTATGTGTTGATGGTGAATGGTCCCTGAAGGCAGCGTATTGTGTTCAGGTGTCAGACCTGGTGATCATTCTGAACCAACGGAGAGCGATTGAAGCATTCACGAAGGGCGGCAACCTGACGCTGGGTGGGAACTGCACTGTTGCCGTGGGACCCATGGGCAGGTGAGATCCTGCCTCCCTCACTCCATCTGTCTGCTGGTTAATTGGCTCTAATATTTACAGTTGATCATAAATTGTGTCTTTCCCTTTAATAAGCTGCCAGTTGTTGACAGTTTGTGTTTCCAGGCCTGAAACTGGAACAAACAGAATCAACATCAGCAGCTGTGGTTGATTCAAGAGGCTTTGATTTGTGACAGTCGGGTAAATTTAGAACGAGGTCAGCCTTGCCTCAGGGCAGCTCGACAAGTTTCACCTGGAAGTTTTGGCTGGGGTGCGTTTGTGGGCGTGGCCTGGAGACTGACTCACCAGCTGCAGACACAAATAAACTAGACCTCATTTAATTGACTGCCTTTAAAGTTTCTGATTATAATGTAACTCTGAAATGTACAGCATAAAAAAACTGTTTGGGTTGTTTTTCAATACAGTTGCGTACCAGCTCAGGTGGGCGGAGTCATCTTAGCGGGCGTCTCCAGAGCAACTTATCAGATTCCTAAAGAGCTACGCAGCCAGACTTCATACCTTCAACTCCAGTCATGAAAGGTTGATGTCCTGCAACCTTTAGATTCATCTCTAGTCCAACACCTGAACCAAATGGCTGAATCTCCTCCTCGGTGTTCAGTCTTCAGTGTCCTGCTGATGATCTGATCGTTTGACTCGTGTGTGTTGAAGCAGAAACGCATCTAAATGCTACAGGACACCAAACCCTGGAGGAATTAAGTTATCTTATCAGTGACCAACCAATCAGTCTTCTGACGTGTTTTCAGCTTGAAAATGCAAAAGAGGTTCTAATAGAGGGGTAAGTACCGTGTGGAAAACCATCCTGAGTACTTGACATTCGTGAAAAATTACCTCATAACATTCAGGACATTGAGGACTGACTCTGGACACCAAATCATCAAAGACTGAGGCTTCACCTGAACAACTAGAATGGTCTAGATCAGATAATGTTTGTGTTAGAATGGTCTAGTCAAAGAACAACTGGGAGGAATTTCCAGATTCACAGAAGTTTTGACTTTTTGATTCCAAAGTGTTTAAACCCTCTCATCGTTTCCCTTCCATCTCTCCTAGGTATTTTGGTTGATTTACAGCCCAGTTGTTGTCTTGAATTGCTTGAGGAGAACAAGCTGTGGCGATCCCAGTCTAACCATGTCCTCTCTCCACTGGGAGATCTGGTTCTGTCTTCTGTCCATCTTGTGGGACGTTCCAGAAACTTCTTCCTCAGGAACACCTCCTTACCAGGAATTTCATAACAGCTGGACTTCTTCTTTTCATTCAAAAGCCTTGGATCAGATGAGAATCGTCTTCTAGAAACAAGAGAAGTCGTCCAGTTGCCTTCTATTTAGGCACTTTGGTTGTTCTGGATGATAGAGACTCTAAACTAGCTTACCAGATGTCCAAACCATCTTAACTCCAGGAGTTAAACCAAATGTTTACTTTGATTCGGCTCTCTCCAATCCGGTTCGTCCCCTCAGGGTTTACTTTGGGTTCTGTTTCAGGAACCTGGAGGCGGACGTCGCCCTGCGCAGCACTGCGGCCGTCTTCACCTACTGCAGGTCCAGAGGGCTGTTTGCAGGGATTTCTCTGGAGGGGTCTTACCTGATTGAACGCAAAGACACCAACCGCAAGTATGCAAAGCCGCCACTGGAGGCGCCAGCGTGTTTCCTTCATAACGTAACGTTTCGCCGGCAGGTTCTACTGTCAAGACATCCGAGCCTCGCGTATCCTAAATGGAGACGTTGAGCCTCCGACGGAGTTCTACGACCTTTACCACATCCTGGACGTGTACACAGAGGCCTACACCACCGACTGGACCAGCAAGAACCTGGTGGCCAGGGTACTGGTCCTGCTGGTCCTTCCTGTCCTATTTGTCTCTCCTTGTCCCTTTGGGATTGAATTGTTGTGTGTTTGTGTCTGCAGTCGGTTCCTCCATCCAGACCTCCAGCTCCATCCCAGAAGAAAGCGCAGAGCAGCTACCGGCAGCCGAATAACAGCGGTGAGCCCCTCAGCGTGCCCCACCTGTTTCTGATCGCATCTGTGCTTCCTGTTTCATCTCAGTGTTTCTGTGTTTGAGCAGAGAGGAAGGACAGACTCTACCCCAGCGCCTCCGTCTACAAGTCGGACACGTCCAGTGAGTCGTTGCTTCACCTTTAAGGAGATCAGAACCACAATTAATGCATATTTAATGAAAAACAGCTAAATTATGTGATTTTAGTGATTATAAAAATCCTAGTTTTGTCACTAGGGATGATATTTGAAGACTATGGGAATAATCTTACGCATGTTGATTACGTTTAAGTTTGATTTGGACTTTAATGGAGGAGAAATAGATGTTATTTGTTATAAATGGTTTGAGTCGTTTCAGGCTGTGGCTCCCTCTAGTGTTTACAACACAATCCTGCAGTCAGTGTCCTAACCTTTAAATCGGGTTAACGGTGGAGAAAATCAGATTCTTTTAATTAAAACATTGAATATTTAGGTTATAGTTACACAGATAAAAAAATCCAACATGTAATTATTACTTTTTTTTTATTTGTGTTTTCTAGTATGAGCCTGATAAAAACTGGCCTCCACAGATTTAAGTCGTTTAAAACTAAATAAACAAATAATATGCTGTTAGTCTTAAAGTCTGGATTTTATCATTTTTCTGTTTCCTAAAATGTTTCAGTTTCCTTTAACTTAAAAAAAATTGTATTTGTTTATTTTACCTCCATTGATTTGGAATCTCAACATTACATTTTAATTTTACCTAAATTATACATTGAAATGTTTTTTTAAACATAAATAAATAAACCCAGGTCAAGAATTTAAGAAAAACAGAGTAAAACTGTCATTTGTATTCTGACTTCCTGTTTATCTTCTGTTTCAGCTCAGTTTGCGTCCCGTGACCCTCCGCGCTACGGTACGAAAATTCACCCTTTTACACATGAATTTGGTTTAATTTTAAGAATCAAGCTAGAAAAGATAGTTTAGTTTGGATGTATCTGTTTTTATGTTTATGCATCAACTTCAATTTTGTAGTTTAATGTTTTTGAATAAAACATTGTGCCACTACATCAGTGAAACTGAAGAGTTAGTCTTGAGGAATAGTAAAATCACAATTTTTGGACAAAATGTTTCTCCTTCTCCACAAATCTAAATGTAATAAATTATAAACATTTCTCTCATTTTTTTTGCTGATATTTGTCTCCTGATTTTATCGTTGTAATTGTAAAACTGATTTGTTTCTTGATGTTTTTACTTTTGCAGATCAGTTTGACCCCGAACCGCCGAGTTATGGTAAGAATAATATTTTATATTTGAAATCACAAATTTTTTAAATATTTAAAACTTTATAAAATTGACTTTTTGTATTCATATATCAAAATGATTTTTAAAATTATAATTAAAAGGATTGTAGGAAAATAAATGACCAAATTTATTTTTTATAGATGAAGGCTCGTCGTCAGCATCAGGGGGCGGAGCTACTGGCTCTTTGGTCGTCACGGCGACCCACCCGTTTACAGGACAGCAGCCCGGCGACCTGAGCTTCGTCCCCGGCGACCGGATCACCGTCATCACCAAGACAAATTCCCAGTACGACTGGTGGGAAGGACAACTGGACAACGGCCGTGTCGGGATTTTTCCAGCCAATTTCGTGACGTACTGACGTCGCCCCCTGGCGGTAGGATCGATGAAATGACAAGTGGATCGAGTCGACGGGACGAAAGCTGCAGGCTCTGATTATCTGATGAAGGATTTTTTTTAAATCAGAAGGCGCATGAATGCGGTTTTTATCTTCACTCGACTAAAAGGGATTCAATATTTTAGGGATTTGGCTCATAAAATACAAAAGTTAATATAATTAGTGGAGTTGTGGGGATTTTCTTTAACGTTTCACCTGGATTGATTTCAGTTTAACACCAGCTGCAAGTTTTACTTTAAATATTAAGTTTAAGTAAAGTTCATGGTTTTCTTTGTTGGGTAACTTTCATTAATTTCATGTTGATCTTTTTTACAACGACAGCTGAGGGCAAGTATTTCCTGTTTTCCCCTTCAAAATAAGGGTTTGGTTTAGATTTCTGTCTGTTACAGCAGCTATGAAGACTTTTATATAAGCTCAAACCGTTATGATGGTGTTGGTCTCATTGAGAGCTTTGAATAAATATTTTTTAAACAGTTTAATTTTTACTGATTCTGTCCGTCTTGTTTGATAAATGCTTCAAAAACTTGAATCAGTTAGAAACCACCAAATACAATTTACTACTGCAGGTTAACTTGGTTCAAAACGAAATAATCTGGTGATATACTTTTACATTAACAGCAATGAGAAGAATCAAAGCTCACACAACCTAAAGATGTGATTTTATGTTTTGGCCAGTTGGGGGCGCTGTTTAACTGGTTTTACTCGCTTCACCTGTTTAAAGTTGATTGCCAGGAGACTTTTTTTTCATATTTGACTCAGTTTATTTTCAGTGGTTAAAAACAACAAATTCATAAAAAAAAACTCAAACAAAAACTAACAGTTCTTCCTTCCACTCCTCTGAGATTAACCGAACCATCGAAACCGCAGTCCAGTCCAAAACAAAATCCAAATGGACTTCTGGAGTTCTACTGTGTTTTGGCTCTTTGGTCGTGTGAAAGTTAAAGAAACGGCGTGTTCGGTGTCTGGATGTCGACTTTCTCTGGCAGGACCAGCTCCGTCCTGGGCTGGCTGCTCACCGGCTTCCTGTTCAACAAATAACAGGCTGAGAGTCCAAACCCGCCACTGTTTCTTTAAACCTGGAGCTGTTCTCACCTTGGCTTCCAGAGGGCGCCCATGCTGGCAGGCTGGTTCTTGGGCTGCCTGTTGCAGTCCTCCAGGGAGTCGGGAAGCGGCGCCCCGCTGGTCTCTGGCAGCAGCAGGCACAGGCCGCAGCCCACGATTGGTCCGCTGCTGTACACGATCATGGCGGCCAATGAGATCGCTCCAGACGGGCTGGGCGGGACGAAGGTGGTGACCAGGCAACCGAGCCGGTATGAAAGGTTGACCAGGGAGATGCAGCGCTGCCTGGATGAGAGCAGCCACCTGTTAGCCTGTATGAAGCTAACACAGACCAGTGAAGGTTGTCTCAGTACCTGACCCCCGTGGGAAACAACTCGATGCAGTACAGGACAGAGATGAAGGTGGCAGCCAGGATGCAGAGTTTCCCCAGCAGAGCCAGACTCATGACCAGCGCCGTTGTTCCTGCATGCACAGGAAACATCTGTGATACCGGACCAGTAGCCCGTCCAGAAGCCAAACCGGTTCTGGTTCTGTAACCTCAAGGTAAACACAGAACAGCCTGCAGACGCCAAGTAGCTACAAGTCCAAACAATGTCTAAAATGTTTGCATGGCTTCACATCAGAAAGGGCGACTCTCTCACCGTCGTATCTGGACAGCAGTAATGATGCCAAACAGGCGGTTCCGCTCAGGAACAGGGCCAACATGGAGATCAGCCGGCGCCCGATCTGGATCAACGGGACCAGCAGACAGGGAGCCTCCGATAGGCCGGAGAAGAACTGGGCGGCGTAAACGCCAACGCCAAATGAGCCGATGTTCAGGCAAATCCCGTAGTAGGTCAGAGCCGTGGCAGCGCTGCAGGACGAGAGGATTAACTGGAGTTACTGCTTCTCGCATCAAAACCCATCGATCCAGACGGCTTGGCTGAAATGGTAAAGGAGCCTGAACTGGGCCAGATTCTAGGACTTACACAGAGCGACGAACAGCAGCACAGAGCATCAGATTTTGAACACGGGACGTGACAAAGATAAAAGTTTAACATTTTTCAACCGTCTTTTGTGGCATCGCTAAACTACAGTCAAAATTTCAAATGCATGAATTTTCTGGTTGCTCTGCTAGAGGAGGGCAAGCGATTGACGCCTCGTCACGATACTTCTGCAGGAAACGACTGGGCAGGGAGCGACGCCGCCTCCTGTAAGACTTAGTCGGTGCAAACCCTGGTGTAGAAGAAACGGGGCTATCCGCCCAGCTAGCTCATCAGACTTCCTGGTGTCCAATCAGGATGCATGACTATGAAATCTCAACATTCTGCAGACAACATATGCACAATACTCCCCAACACCTGGGAACCGTAATATTGACCATTTTTCAGCAGTATGAGGCCAGTGTTTATCTGTTATTGTCCTTTTCAGACAACTCTAGACTTTAGCTGATGACATGGGTCAATGCTGATCAGAAAATCAATCGGGGAAAGGCGTCTGCTTTGTGTTTTCTTTACCAGTGTTTGTTGCCACTAACTGGACCAGGTTCTGGGGGTTTTAACCTCTGAACTGACATCCCACTGTTCTATGGCTGAACCCTGTGGAGCCCAAAAGACTTTGAGTTTTCAGAATAACAAGTGTGTCTGTTTTTCCGTCTAAACACCAGTTATCTGCAGAATGAAGGAACCCAGCTTCAGTTAGCCTATTGTCTTCTTTCAGCAGGTTTGGACCTTCTGTCGTGTCTCGGTTTGTCTTTCTGTGGCTCCGTGTTCCTCTCCACCTCTAAGTACCAGTTAATGATAACATCTGTTACGTAACTGAAGTGTGGCATGAAGGCAGCAGATCTGGGACAGTTTGGAGTTGTTGTTTGATGGTTCTGAGATATTTAGACAAGGAGGAGTCAAAGTTCACAGATGATATAATCCTTATTACTCATTACCTTATGAAACTTTATTAAAACCAAACTTCCTGTGTTCCTGTTGAACGGTGTGTGCTGTACCTCAGGTAGCTCATGATGAACAGCCGCAGGAGGATAGTCGGGTGCCTCAGGTGTGTGATGTCACTGGGGGCGTGGTCTCCAGCCATCTGAGCTTCAGAGGCTTTGTGCAGGTCGGACCAGGCCGAGTCCAGCAGCTGGACGGGAACACAGGGACTCAGCCTTACAGAACCAGGAACATGCAAGGATTTTTACCACCAGATAGTTTTACCAGGTCCAAACACTTCTGATCTGCAGGGCTGTTGTTACGGTAACCGTCCAGAACATCCTTTCTCCTCTGTAACAACAGCCAGCGAGGAGATTCTGGGATGGCTCTGCAGACGAGGAGAAAGGAAACCATGAGAGAGTTCCTGATGAGCGGGCCGAACGGACGGACAGACGGCGCAGGCGGGCGTACAGGTAGAGCGGCAGGCAGACGATCTGCGGCAGGGCCAGCAGCAGGTGCAGGTGCGTCCAGCTGGGGCTCAGCCAGGCCAGCGGGGCTCCGCCCATCGTCCCCAGGCTGAAGCAGAATGGCAGGAAGGCCGGCGGCCAGAGCCGAGCGGCCGGCAGGGTCCACTCCACCGCTGCCCGACAAAAACACAGCAGGGAAACCGACTCAGCAACGTGTGGATACCGAGGAGTCGGCCTGGTCAGCAGGGCTCCGTCTGATACCAGTGAGTCCACTCAGATCCAATACGTTACTGACTGCTGCAGCACAAACTGTTCTGATCACATAAACCCAGCAGAACTCCAACATCTGAAGGCAGAAACTGTTAGTGTCACGTCCAGAGGTAGAGAACGCATAATGAGTTTCAAGCCTGCATGGTGTGGAAGGGAGTTGGTTGTATGATTTGGAGTCTGTGCTAACTCACATCTACTAAATATCCTTTAAGGAGCAACTGATCTAAGTAATCTGTCTTTCTTTCTATTTATTCTGTAAATGAACCAGTACATCTTCACTGAATAATCGGTGAACCATCTGAGAAGAGGATGCTGCAGAGTGACGGTTGTTACCGAGGCTGAAGGCGCAGATGTTGATGCAGCAGCAGCAAACGGCGGTCAGGCAGCGGATGGCGAGGAAGAGGAGCGGCTGAGGAAACACGGCGGGCACCAGGCCGCAGAAGGCCTGGATGCAGGCGCAAGCTAGCAGCACCGGGCGCTTCCCGTACCTGCAGAGGAAACCCCGACCGGGTCAGCAAAGCTCCACCTCCTACAGGTGTGAGTGTGTGCGAGTGTCTACCTGTCTGAAATGGCTCCGCCCACCAGGGATCCGAGCAGCAGTCCCACCATGTAGACCGTCTGACCATAAGACAGCCAGTCTGTCCAACCGCACACTGACTGACACATGTGGACATCCAGAGGAGACAGATACGTTACTGATCAGTGCTGATGAAACCAAGCTAACGTTTGTCCATGACGTATCGAAAACACCAGTTTAAAAATGTCTTAAACATTCCTCTTGATCCAATTTTAACTGCTCAGTATTTTGAGCGGCTTCATTCAGTTACTCTGCTGCCATCGCTAAAACTACAAACAAACTACAATTCTAAAACGGCGAAAAAAATTGACGTCATCGTTCACAACTTTCCCTTCTGTTCACTGATTGGCCCGGGTGAAATTCAACCGGAGAAATTGAGGTCAATAGGAGAAATCTTTAATACACACTGGAAGACAGATGGACTCCAGCCATGGTTGATCTCACCGGAAGGCTTGCCACTTTTTGACAGTACCGAGCCCGATAAGGGTGAATGAACTGAAAAAGCCACAACCCGACTGTGGAACAGGTTCTGAAAGCATCTGCTGAAACCCTGATGGTGTTGGAGTGAGATATTTAACAAGAAATGACATCAGCGATGGTGGTGATCAGATGAAACCAGCAGGAAATAATAGTTTGCTTCTAGTAATCAGTTATTTCCTTTTAAATAGCATCTTCTTGGTATGAATAAAGATGCTAAATCTGTTTTGTATTATATATCACAGATGTATATTTGGATGACAATCGTGATTTAACAATAAAAGGTAGAGTGTAGAGTTGCAGAGGCTCTAAACTGAGCTGTAATAGAGCCGCTTAGAGTTCCTAGAAACACAGTATTGCCCCACACATGACCTGCAGATAACCCGGGACGGCCCACGTGTGGGTCCGCAGCCTCCTGCCAACTGTCAGGAACAGCAGGATCCAAAATGTTCAGGCTTGATTTTAACAGCCGCATGTTGCACATTAACAGAGTGGACACCATCAGTTATGCAATCCACATGTGTGATAAATTAATCCCTCCACTAAACCAGCTGTCGAAACTCCCTCGTGTCAAAAAGAGATTATAGTTACGTTGTTTGTGCATAATAAAAATGAAGTATTTAGGAGTTTTCTTTAATAAAACAGTCAGTAACAGGCGGCAGAAGTAACTGGGTGGACATAAACACGTGTTTAAAGTGTAAACGTTATCAGAAAAACAACAGA